GTCCAGTCCACTAGAGCTGTGATCAGTACACACAGTGCATTTGTATATTTTGGCATTTTTGGTGCTGCTTATTTTTGATAAAAAGAGGCAAGGCTCTATTTAGGCACTTTGTTTAATTAAAAGCTAAATTCCTAAGCCCACGTAGGAAGACAGTAAAAGAAAAAAATGTATGGCTTCACAGTTAGACATTCAATTCAGTGTTGGATTTTGAGAGCCTTGTGCTTGACAGTGTGACGCTTCTCTGCTTTGCACGTGCATTCACTGCAGGAACACGGTCTGGTCATTCTGTGATTACTTACTTTTAGAAACTTAGACCTGCTAACTTTAAGTAAATCAACTTTAGCAATCTGGACATAAAGTGGGAGTGGAGTGCGGTGGAAGGATGAGTTGTAGTTTCAGAATTTAAATGGAAAACTTCCTCATTTTGCCTGGTCAAACCTTGGTTTGGAGATGTTTAAGTACAACCAAAGCAGGAAGAAACTCCCTTCTGGAACTTTGGAGGAAAATATCTGAGGCCATCTAAGGCACCAGATCCACAGGCTAATAAGCTACTGACCCCCAGACTACCAGGAAGCTTGAGGGGAAAAAAATGTTAGGTAAACACAGTCCAACAGATTCTTATATTTTAGTACTATCATCTTTGGTAAATAAAACTAGGTAAAAGTAGCACATATTTTTGCCACAGAATCCTTAACTAATACGATCAGAGACCAACAAAAAAGGTTTTTTAAAAGTGTGTAGGAGTATCTTAAAGTTATAGGACTTTTAACAAAGTGATTGACCGAATGACTTGAAGTTATGCCCCTTTTGTAAATGGATTTCTCAGGTAGTCCGTTCCCCTGGCGGCCATGACTGTAACTTGGGATGATCATAGCAATTTGCTCAAACTCAAATGGCAGTAATAACTTCAGTAGAGACTGAGGGCAGTCAAGAAGTTGCAACAACTTTAGTAAAAGAATGAAAGAAATCTCAACAACTCCAGGCAGGAGGAGAAGATCTCTGGATAATATAGCAGTTGTAGCTGAAGTCTATGGTTTTGCAGAAACTACTTTGTGGTACTAAAATGAGGCTCTGTTTCAGGGATCGGCAGACTTTCTCTGCAAAGGGCTGTATAGTAAATATTTCAAGCTTAATGGGTGTCAGGTCTCAGTCACAGCTCAGTCTGCCACTGTGACTTGAAAGCAGCAATAGAAAATATGTGAATGGGTGTAACTGTTTCAGTAAAACTTTACAAAGATCATGTGTGGGCTAGACTTGGCCCTCAGGCTGTGGGTTGCTGCTCTAATCAGTAAGAAGCTATCTTGTTTGTATATTTTAAGTATAGAAAAGGGAGGCGGTAAGAGACGGAAAGGGAGAGAGAAAGATGCTGTTACAAAAATTTTTTAAAATCAGTGACTCATTTAGTGGGATTAGCCACTTAAGACAGTGTTTTCCAAACTCACCATTCATCAAAAAAGTGAGACTCCTATCAAGCGACAGTAATAAAAAGCTGTTGGACTAAGTAAGAATGATAGAATTGGAATAATACAGATCAACTCTCATAAAATGAACTGTGTAGGACATCTGCTCTAAAATGCAGGAGGCTGCATGCCAGTGAGAGCTCTCAAAACACAGCGGAAGGGACCAGGGAGAGAGGAGCGCTCACCCAGGAAGGGCAGTGGTGAGATCTTGGGAGTCCCCAGAGGGTACGAGGGCCCTCGTTCAAGCATCCAACTCTCCGTCTCGAGCTGCCACAGAGTGCCCGCCCTGACTTTGCTGTGAACTGTCCTCTGACCTCGGGGGCGAGTGACTTGGCTTCTGGAGCCCAGGCTTTCCTTACCTCTGACATCCCCTCTGGCACAAGGTGTGGGATTCTGTGACACAGATCTGTCACACTGGATTCTGAGAAATCCTAACCTCTGGTCCCTTCTCTTAAGAAGTTAAACTAGACACAAGTGTTTAAGAGTGAGAGAAAATTACAGACTGCCCTTTGGCAGGATTTCCACCCAATCGCAAAAAGAGGACTAAAACTTCTGAAGGGCATTCGGTTTAGATGAAAAGGTACCCAGCTGTGCTCTTTAAGCCTGTCTTGTATGAAGGAACTTTCCGTAGTCGCTCTGTGTAGCTTATCAAGTCTGCCCTCCCAGGGACACTTCTGTGGTCTTCGGGGCCACTTTGGAGTTTCTCTCTGATACGCCAACTGTTTAAAGAAAGCGGTTTGCTCGGTGTGTGAGCCGGCAGACAGCGTGCGTGCCACTGTGCGGGTCCCTCCTGTGCGTGGGAACCCACAAGGTGCAGCAAGTTTCTGCTCTTTAGGGAGAGCAACTTTTATATTTTTAACATCACAGCTCCAGATAACGTGGCTGCAGCTGACTAAAGTGCTGTTTAAGAAGATGGGGAGGAAGCGATGGGGGCTGTTATTTTGCGAATTGGAAGAAGCTTTTATGTGCAGTAGAGACCATGACCGCTGATTTTGTGCTGATTAAACATCCATGTACAGTGGTGGCTGGGGACTTGCAGAGTCCACCGACGTTAAGAACTCCTGGGTTCAATTCCATCTTCCACTTGGCCTTCTCTCCTCTACACTGCTTCATTCCGTACGTTACCACTTCATTGTCCACAATTCTTAGTCCCTTTGCATTTAACCCTTAGTTGCTTATTCCCAAAGTGCTGGCATCAAGAAGTAATGCTTCCTATCGGCTTTTGTCCTTCTGTGAATTAGCAATAACCAATTTTCTGGGACCAATGTGAATTTAGGTCAGGAAATTCAGTCATTGCTCTGTGCACGATAAACCCCACAGAGCTCATGGGAATACTGGGACAAAGGGGCACAGTACCCCAAAACTTCATCACTGATACAATTAAAAAAAAAAAAAGCAACCTAATAAGAACAGTAGCACAGTTTTCAGTGTTGTCAGGAACCATATAAATACCCCAATAAATGTGGCAGGTTATCTAGAAAAGGACCTGCAGGGAACCTGTGGTAGAGGGCCTTGGAAGGGCTGCATCTTTGGGGCTGCTGGAAGGCAGAGGACGGCGTGATCCCAAGTCAGACCAGGGTGACTGCGCACAGGGGGTGGCACCGGGGGAGCTGGTGATGTTGGGGGGGGGGTGGCTGCGTCTCATGTTTTCCTGTGTGGCACAGTTCAGCTGGGGGCAGTCTGCTGTGTTCATCTGATGTTCCTGGTGGACCGAAGTGCACACAAGTAAATGGGGAAAAGCACATTATGCTCAAATGATTCCTCATAGCTCAGTTGCATTAGAACACACAGGCATTTTCAAAACAAGTGCTATAGCCAAACGGACTGTGTTTGCTAACCTGGCACCAGCGGCAGGAGAATGCTGTCAGAAAGCCTTCCACCCGTCCGCGGAACCCCAAGAAAGTTCCAAAAAATGCTGACACAAGAACTATGGTTGGTAAAAGTTAAAAATGAAACAATTGTATTCACTGGAGAGATTTCTTTTCTCTGCCTGTCCCTCTTGCAGTATGTCCATTTTGGTGGGGAAGTTTCTGTTTACTAATAAAATAAGTCACAGGTTGAAGGCAAAGCTCTAGAGAGGGAAAAGATTCAATTTCACTTTTACTACTTCAAGGATCAGCTAAGTACCGAGTACTTAGAATTCATTTGCAGTAGAGAGAAACACAATGGAGAGAGAGGAACGAAGGATCCACCTTGAGTCATCAAAGTGCTTTATTTTGTAAAGCCTGGCTCATGACTGGAGTGTATTGTTAGCACTAAGAGATACAAGGCAAACTTCCTCACTCTGTCCAAACAGTTTATCGACAAATGAATGACAGAGACTGTTACAGACAAAAAAAAAAAAAAAAAAAAAAAAGCATTTTGTAAACTTCTAAAAGCATACACAGACGGGCCACAAAGGAAATGGTTACTCAAATAATGTATGTGTACCTTATCTTTACTTCAGGGTCTCACTTTTGTAGTCTTGGGTCAAAGAAACCACAATATGACTTCAGAACACTGAAACAGACTCGATGCCAGAATGAATGGTGTGTGGGGGGGGAGGGGTGCAAATCCCAGTCTCAGCTAATATGAGGGCATAAAATTCAGATTTGGACAGCCATGTCACAGGGGTGAGAACATCAGCCACCATGACTCACAGACCTCGGGTGAAGTCACTAGTTGTAGAATGGCGTTGCTGCTGGCTTTCAGAGACCCCGATTTTGCTATCACCTCATTTTCCCAAGTCAACCCACACACAGTGGGCACAACTGAAGTCTTGATAAGCCCTGAAGTAAAGTTCCTGGAAGGGGCAGTATGCAGGGGGTGTTTGCTTAGTTCTAAGTAATCACTGAAAGGTGGCTTTTTTTTTTTTCTTTCTTGAAACTGCCTACAAAAATCATCTCGTGTTTTAAACAAAGAATTTCAAAGGCACAGCTTTAGCACAGTGTATAAGTTGATAACCTACCCTAAGCCAAGTCTAATATTTTAGCTTGACGCCTTTCCGAGAATGCCAGAAAGTTGGTAAATACATGATTGATGTTGGAAACTTATAAACTGATTAAAACACAACCAGCACAGTTTAGGGCAATGAACTTACATAACCAGATTTGGGTTAAACATTTTAAAAAAAAATCTGGTTGATAAATGTACATCTGGAGGAAACAAAACAACCCTTTTCCTTTTATTGTATAAGACTGCCTACCATGTACTTTGAATAAAACATTCACCCAAAAACATGACTGCAGGATACATTTCAAAATAGGACAAACATTATTTCACCTACACTGTAAAATGACTTTACATGTAAACTTCAGAAATCACATGCTGTACATTAAATTTTTAGATTCAAAAATATCCCTGTTTTCCTAATAATGTAAACAGTAAAATTGAGGGTTTCAGTTAAAGGGATAATTCATAACAAAATACCACTGTTTAATCAATGGTGAAACAAACATCTTAGAATCCATATTTGCCATTGTTAACAGGAAAATTCAGAGTTCTAATGCTTTGCTCACCTTCCCACAGTAGGAGATGTAGATACCATTGCCCAAAACTATGCAATTTTCAGGTAAGCTTTATTTTTATTTTGTAGCATTAATTCCTATATTGCAACATAAGAGTGTAACAGTGAAGAAGCTCCAGGCAAGAAAAGAGAAGTAAGCAGTTTTCCTGGACATACTTACTGAGGTGAAAATGTACAGACAAGAGTCACTAGGGGCATCAGCTTCTTGCTGGAGGAGGGGCCTTTGTCCCCGGACACCGGGAGTCCCGACACTGTGGAGGCAGAACCCTGAGCCCGGGCGCGCTGGCGATGCTTGTGCTCCCCCGGCCAGCGCCAGGGGCTTGGCGGACAACTATAAAGGAGTGTCAGCGTGCGTGGTAGAAATGTAACATTCGCAGTAAGTTTTTTTCTTTTAATCACCATCATTATTATCATCATTATTATTATCTTCGTTATTATTATGAATACTGTCACATCTTTCAATTCCAAAAAATAAACTGATCCACAGTTTATCGCGTGACGCCAACATGGTCGGTCTGACATGCCTTGCCTTTGCCCCCTCCCCCCGCGTGTGCTCACCCGTCCATCCATCCATCCACAGCTGGAATCAGAAGGTTGTTGCCCAAATGCACTCTGACTGAAGCTGACCGGTTTTCATTAATTAATTAATTAATTAATTTTTAAGATACACGCGTACACGCGCGCAGACACACACGCACGCACGCACACGTGTCAGAAATAGCTAGAACGATGCTGGGAAATATCAGGTAGCTGTTAAAGCGAGTAGCCTCCAAATCAGTCATCTTGGCCTGAAGATGTAAACGAGGAGGTGTGCTTCGCTGAGTTTGGTTTTCGTTTTTCCTACGCCGAAGCCACCTCTGTCCTTCCCGTGCTCATGTCCGTCCAAGGCCATGTGGGAGGTTACGTCAAGATGTGGCCAATAAAGTCCAAAAAGCGCTTTGAATACTGTTCTGGGTTCACGGTCGAGATCTCTGCACCAGCCTGGGCAGTTTTAAAAGAGAAGAATTAGCAATATAATTACTACTAAGTCTCTATAGCAATTTCCAATTGCAGCTAAACACAAAGCTAGTAATTTTCCAATCTCTGCCTCTGTTCTTAAAACATAAAATATCTTGCATATTGTGTCCAAACAATCAAGGTTCTTAGAAATCTGTGTGAAAATGAGGCGAAGAGTCAGTAACAACAGATGCTGTTATCACACTGACTTCAGCAACTTAAAAAAAATCAAACTAGCCATGTTTGGGATGTGCCTGTCACGCGGTGGACTGTGCGGCCTACGCTCAGAAGCCACACGAACAATATTGCTGTTTTTCAGGAGAGCAGATTGGAGATCCCTTGAGAGTGATGCCAACAGCAACATTCAGCTAAAGTGAACAGACAAGGACAGAGGATCAGGTTTCTTTTTCAGGACTCAGGTAAGAGGCGGAGCACTCACAAGAGGGGTGACAGCCACAGCAGCCGGGTCTGGATCAGCTGCCCCCCAGCCAGGTAAGACCACAGGCTGCGGATGGCATCTCCCCCCGCAGGGCCGGGCAGCTCCCTCAGCGCGGGGCACAGGACTGCCATTGTTCCCCTTCACAGAGACCTGCCTGGAGCAAGGAAGCGGGGCCCCTCGCGGAGGCTCAGCGGGGAGTTCCCATTCCGGGAGGCAGCCCTGGCGGCCAGACCTGAGGTATGTAGTTACTGGCCAGTTTCCTGAGCCGCAGAGGGCAAGACCAGTTTTATGAAGTCACCATGGGCTATTTTTAGACACCCATACTCCCTGGGGAACCTGTAATTTCCCAGCCTGGCCTGGGCCACGGGGATCTCCACGGAGGAGCCCAGGCCTTGAAGGCAGAGAAGAGTTTCCAGAAGCAGCTCGACACATTCCTTTGCTAAGAGTAGGGTCTTGCTCCTGCAAACTTGTGCTCAGTCCGTGGAGTATTGTGGAGCTGAGCCGGGGTCTCGTAGAAGAGATTAGAATGGAGCCATGCTTGCTCCGATCGATTTCGAGTTCCCCAGGGTGTGTGATACTGCAGCACGTGTGGGGAGAGGTGGGCTCAGACGCAGAGCACCTGCTCACCTCGGCTGTCCTCCACTAAACCCCATCAGCAAGGGGTTAGGACTCCTTTATTAGTTGGGGCCCTTAAGCTCTGAAGTGTTTTCTCAAGGTTACACAACTGGGAAGGCTAAAATATGGATTATAGGGTTTCTGACCCAGTTGATCTCTGCAGTAGACCCGTGGTTCTCGGCCAGCGGTGAGTATCAGAATGACTACAGAGCCTTTTCCAGACCTCCCCCAGCCTCCTGCACCGGACTCAGAACCAGAGAAGGGGGACGGTGCCTCAGGCATGCACGTATTTCACAAACGCTACTCCGAAGGATGCCAGCTGCCAGGTGAGAGCCCCCAGGTACCGATACAGGCCCTGGACTCCAGCAGTGGGCTGGGTGAGGTCTTCAGCCCGGCTTTGCGCACCGCAGGAACACCATACGTAGTTGCTGGTGATGTAACTAAAATGTTTCTTTGGCAAAGAGGATATGTTTGTAGACTGGCTCCCTTGCTGGGAGGACAACCTGTTTGATTTTAAAATACAGAAAAAGAGCCTTTTTAATCGAGGCTGATGTTCTCGTGCCTCTCGGCTGGCTGTACACACTATAGGCAGGCACCTCTCCTTGTGTGAACAGGCCAGGGCCCAAGTTCATTGCTATGGGCTGGGGGTCTCTGGCTTTTTTAGCAATGCCTGGAAAGCCAAAACAAATCTCTACAATAGGAGCATAATGGATGGTCACAACATGTGAAGTTCAACCAGGGAGGGGGCTTTTGCTGGTAGGGCAGGGGATGGGACTACCAGAGAGCAGGGGGCTGGCTAGGTTCTGGGGAGCAGTCCCATTTCTACCACTTTCTAGTGCTGTGACCCTGAGCAGGCTACACAACCAGCCATCACGGGCTCGTCACAGGGAATTCAGCAAGTCCCCATATGCACAGGATAGTGGTAATTTAGAACAAGCACAATGAAGGTGAAGAATTCATGTTATTAAACTTGGATCTTGCACCCAAAAGATAGAGAAAATACAGTTCACTGTACAAAACGGAAGATAATCCTGCATGTTCGGGAAGTGTCTGAAGCACAGATTAGTGCGTCAGAACAGTCTCAACAGGTCGGTTTTGAGGACTCATGTGAAAACACTTAGCTGTCTTCACTGTCATTTTTGAAGCATTTTCCCAACAAAAACGCCTCTGTACAACATTCCAGAGATGCACGAGTCTGTGACTATCCCGTGCGTAAAAGGACAAGCCGCTGAGTTTAAGTGACTTGCCCAGGGTGTGGGGAGAGCTGGTGTGAGCCTGTTGGCATTTGCTGCCTCTCAGTCTCACACTCTGAACTCGACCCCCCAAACGAACAAGAACCCCCGAGGGACTCTGGCCAGCTTGGCGGCGAGGAGCGGGGCCGGTCCCCGCACCGCAGACAGCAGCGGGGGCCCGGGAGCAGAGAGGGAAACCCGGTGGAGGTACTTACCCCATGCTTAACAGTTTTGGCGGCGTGGGCAGCTTTCTTTTTTGCATCATAATGAGTCAAAATGTCAATAATTGCCATAAAGTACACCTCTTTCCTGGGCGAGTCTGTAAAGGGATGAGAGCAACGATTGTGGGACCAGTGACGTGGCCTAAAAGAGCACCGCCGGAGGGGGAGGAATCCGGGACGGGGACCAGAGGGGTCTGACCACAAAGGCCGGGTACACTGCAGCTCAAACACATTCTGGAAAACGACAACTTACTTTTTACTCCCTCCTCTGGTTTAATGGTGTGGGGAGAGGGGCAAAATGGGGGAGTGGGGTTGAGGGACACAGGCTTCCAGTTCCAGAGTGCGTACCAAGGCACAGCACAAGGAATACAGGCAGTGAGAGGCTAACGGTGTTGTGAGGGGACAGACGGCAGCCACCCCTGTGGTGAGCACCGCGTCACCGACAGACTGGTCCCATCCCTATGCCGGACATCTGGAACTAACCTAACATGGTGTGTCAGCTCTCCTCAAGTACAAAACAAAAATAAGTGCTAAAAAAAATCGTAATTTGAAAAAAAATCCATGTAACTCCTGCATATCCCTGTTAAATAGCTTTTTTTTTTTCTGTCCCCAATTCTCTCTCAATTTAAAAAGTAAAAAAAAAAAAAAAAAAGTATAACCCCAGAATATCACCAGTAGAGGTCCAAGGGCAAGACTGTTTTCCTTTTTTTGTTAATCTGCATTTTCCTTAATCATTATGTATTGCCTTGGTGTAAAGAAAAATGCTACTTTAAAAATACAGTAGAGGTAATTTTGCTCCTTAATCCTTTTCTACCAGTACGGCTGTAATGCGCTTCGCAGAGCCTGCATCTTCCCGCAACGCTGCATGGAGCTTTCCAACAGCATTTGCTCACTTGCTGTCTCGGTCACATTCTGGTAATCCTAGCAATATTTTAAACTTTTTCATTATTATATTTTTATTGTGATGTTTGATCAGTGATTAAAACTCACTGAAAGCTCAGATGATGGCTAGTATATTTTAGCAATAAAGTATTTTTCAATTAGCAATAATCGCGCCTCGGATAAACCTCATTGGCTACGATACTGCCACTGCGCAAAGCTAATAAAGTATTTTTAAAATAAGATGTGTCTGGTTTTTTTTCCGGACAGAGTGCTATTGTACAAATAGACTATAGGCTAGGGTAGACACAACTTTTATACACACTGGGAAACCAGCACATTCATTCGACTTGCTTTACTGTGGTCTAGAACCCAGGGTATCTTTGAGGCATGCCTGTTTGTAATTCTGATTGAGTCCAGCATCAGAACTGGATAAAGGCATATATCCAATCAGTCTTCCTGCGTATTTCCACCAGTATAATGCTGTTTTAATTGTAAACAATAAGAGAAGTACATTTGACTATATCTAATTATCTGTGGTGAGAATTTTGGTGAGCAAAATAAAAAAAATCTCATGGGGCATATCAGCCAAGTGAGTCTGAGCTGTGTTTAAACAATGATGAACCATTTTTATTACTCAAAAAATAAGAGGCTGGCATTTATCATCTCTCTAAATTATTTTGATTTTCTCATGCATAAGTAGCTAAAGTAGAAAGTAATATTCCTTCAAATACCCAGTCATACAGATTTTGAGGATTAAGACTGCGCTCACGCTGGAGAAGAGAGCCACCGACCCTTTAATGGGGCCGGGGTGGGATGGAGTGACGGAGTGTCCGCTCAGCAGAGGATGGACAACAGCAAACCAGACATTCTCATCCCACACCCTGGGCCAGCAGCGCTCGTGAAAGGGAAAGGGCTGGTAGGGATGAGACACCCGCCGTTACAGGGTGGCCGAGCGAGGTTCAGACCCTATCTGTACCTGGCGGGGGAGGGATTCCCAACACTCTTTCAGAGCCATGTAAGAGCTAAGAAAACATTTACAAACATTTCTTCTACGTGTCCCCTACATTTACAGAAGTGCGTGCACATGTGTGTTGTGTATATAAACTAGTTGGTGGCTTCGCTGTATTCCCTTAACATCAAAAAATTCAAGGGCCTTTTCATAGTAGGTTTCAAAACCAGAGATTACAGATCCTCTTAACATACTCCCGTCCCTGAATCGATTCCTGGGGCTCTGGGGAGTAAGTCTTGGAGGGCAGCCTACTTTTAACGGGGATTACAATTACTGGTAGGAAACAATGCAAAAATCAAACCATTTCATAGATAAAAAGAGTTGGTAATAACTCAGCTTACTTTCATGGCATTTAATTCCATAAACATCAATGTTCGGGTCAAACTCCCCTGGAGCCAAGGGCGGTGAGCTGTTCAGCGTATTTCCAGGACTGTCCGGCGGGGTCCCGACGGGGTGGGCGCCATCGCTCTCCCCCTCCTCTTCCCCTTCATTCTCTTCACACTCCACCTCTTCCTGTTCGGCTCTCTCCACGTCGTGGATTCCCACCAGGAGGCTATAGTCCATGAGTTTTAACTGGGCAAGAAACTGGGGGCAGGGGAGGCAACAGGGTCAGTCATGCCTTAAACGAACCCCCAGATCTGAAGCAAACGGGCCCAGGAAAATGCCTGTGGGGGGACACTGGGAGGGAAGGGGCAGCAGATATGAGGCGAGGGTCTCCCTAAGAGGCGGCTCAGCCAGGAGCCTCTATGATGCTCTCACAGTCCCAGGCAGCTTCTCTGGCCAAAAACGTAGCCCCACACTTGGGGCTGGCTCAGCCCTGGCATTATTTTCCCTGAAACGCGAAGCTGGATGCCGGGAGGCATGCACTGATCACGTGGAGGTTGGATTACCCCAAAGAGCAGAGCGCATGACTGGCAAGAAGGAGGGAAGAGAGCCGTTCTCCCGACAATTAAGACTGGCTGATGGGAAAAACCAGGGACCTCCCAAGTAGCTTCCAGCAGAGTCTCTTGTGAAAGCACTTTGAAATTCAGCACACTGGGCTGAGAGCAGATTATTATGCTGTCTGTCACAAAGAAGTAAAAGCCCAAATGTCCCAATCAGCCAGCAAATGCCCGTGTCAGTGCTCTGGTGACTAACGCGGTCCTTCTGTCCTGCTCGGATTTCCTTATGGCGGGAGCGGGGGGACCGGAGAAGCCGGACGGGGCTCCCTTCCCACGCAGCAGCACCGGCCCAGGAGGCCTCTTCTCCCTCCTTCCCCTGGTCCAGCCGTGGGGAGACTAATGTGGGGCAGGACTTAGCCCCGTCGGGCAGCTTACTCCTGCCTGCCAAGTTCTCGTTTGCCTTTTCAGGTCATGATTTTTCTTCTAAGTAGACGTCCCCGGACGCGTGGTCTGAAGCACACCGTTCTAACCGCTCGCTCAGACGTGGCCAGGCCTACTGAGGGCAGAGCGTGGCGGCCCGTCTGCTGGCTAAGACGCCGGCAGCCCCCCAGTCCCCCAGCCGGCTGTGGCCCAAGACAACGATGCATGACCCCAACCCTTGGGGCCTCGGTGCCACCCCCGCTCGGTGATGCGGAGCAGCCGGTGGGCCTCGGGCGACTCAGCTAGAACTTAGGAAATGAACTTCCTTACGCAAAGGGCAAGCGTGTGAAATTACAGGTCTGAAGTTCTGGCTGGAAATGAAAGGAGATCAATTTGTGGAGACCCGCAGAGCCACTTCCCGTCCCGAGCCTGTTGGGAAGCGGCCTGTTCTCCGAGCTGGAGAGAAGGCCACGCTCCCTTAGGACAAGGAGAGGAGCTGCCCCCGCTGTCCCTGATGCCTTCCGCTCCTCGGCAGCCCAGGCCGCCGCCTGCCTGCTCTCCTCTTGCCCAGCTCCCATTTCCTTGTCTTCGCACCATGAGTCCCCTCCGGCCAGGCTGACTCTTCCTCATTTAAGCTCAGGGGGAAAAAGAAAATCACACAACTCTTTGTTTAGATAGGTGAGGTCGGAGAGACCTAAAACTTAAAAATTGATACATGCAAACCCTTTGGCAAAAAAGAGTCCGAATGGCCAACAGGTACAGAGAGGCCCCATATCACTTGTTATCAGAGAAAAGGCAGATCAAAACCCCAATGAACAGTCACCTCACCCTTGTCAGGAGAGCGAGTATCAAAAAGTCGAGAGAACCAGCGTTGGCGAGGATGTGGAGAAATGAGAACCTTGTGCCCTCTTGGTGGGAATGCAAACTGGTGCAGCCGCTGTGGAAAACAGTACGAAAATTCCTCAAGGAATTAAAAACAACTACCGAGAGATCCAGCAACCCCAGTGCTGGGTACAGATCCAAAGGAAACAACATCATTATCTCGGAGAGATCTCCGTACGCCCGTGTTCACGGCAGCATCATTCATAACAGCCGAGGTAGGGAAACAAGCTCGGTGTCTGTCAGTGGGCGACCGGATCGAGAATAATGTGATCCGTACGTATACAGTGGGATGTTGTCTGGCCTCAAGAAAGAAAGAAATTCTGTCATTTGCGACAACATGGATGAACCTGGGGGCATTATGCTAAGTGAAAAAAGTCAGACAGGGAGAGACAAATACTGTGTGATATCACGTACATGTGTGTGTGTGAGATTTAACTCCTAGAAACAGCGGAAACGTGGCTGCTGAGGGCTGAAGGGGGTGGAAGACATAGGGAGAGCTGGTGAAAGGGTACAAAGCTCCAGCTCTCAGAGGAGTAAAGTCTGAGGATCTGACGCAGAACGTGCTGACCATAGGCGGTAACGCTGTGCTGTATCACTGGCATCTGCCAAGAGAGCAGAACTGGAATGTTCTCACCCAAAGAACAAAGGTCACCACGCGAGGTGATGGCTCTGTTCATAACTTGATGGGGAAATCCTTTCCCGGGGATACACACACATCAGTCACCACCACGTATGCATGAAATATCCTATAATCCTGTGGTCAATTCTACCTCAATAAAGCTGGGTAAAGAAATAAAGATGTTACTTAATCTAGTAAAAAAAAAGAAAAAAGCCAACAACAAATAAAACGGAGTGCTGGTTCTCATGCCTTCGATCAGTTTGCTGAGCCCCAGAGACAGAGGAAGCTCTTGTTCCTCCCACGGGCTTTCCCACACTCCCCTTTTCAAGTCCTTACAGAACAACTTTCCACCTCCCTCAGCCAGTGGCCAGAGACTGCTCGTCCTGCCGCTGCCGGGAGTCACGGTGCATCTGGCCGGGAGCTCCTCTGTGTGGGCAGCCTTCCCCGTCTTGAGGCAGTAATAATACCATAAAGTTGTGGCATTGTATTCATAAAGCTTGAATCTTTTCCCCACGCGGAGCCAGCCTCCCAGCCACGCAGCCGGACCCTGGGTGCCTGGTCCGCTCCCCACAAGCGTGTGGAGGTGGAAGAGAGCCAGGCCCGGCGGGGTGGGGAGACCGTGAGCCTAGCCTGAGACAGACGTTCCGATCCCCGTGCAAGATGGCAAACGGGCTCGGAAAGATGAAAAGAGCTTGCGCGTGGACTCAGAGCTAAGGCGGAGTGAATTCAGGATCCTACGTCCGAAGCTCCTGTCCCTCATGCCGCATTAGGCTGTTCCTGGGAACTGCATTAAGGCAGCTTCTCCCAAGCCCTGTTCTTTGCAACACTAGTTGGGGAAAAAAATGAGTCAATCAAATCCAATGGTTTCTGAGGAGGAGGGCCTCCCAAAGTTACTAAGGACTGTGAGTCTCTGAGATGGGGTGCGCACCAGCAGCAGGCCCCACGCTGATTTCAACATGAAGCCTGCTCTTCTCGCCCCTTCAGAATGCCCCATGGGCCTACTGATTTGGGAACAACACATTTGGGAAACACTGCATCAGAAATCCCCAGTCATACCCTCTGCCCCCCAGCAGACAGGACAGGCAGGTTGTTCACTGGTGGCCGTGGGTCCCAGACAGCTGTGCCTGGGGCTGAGCTCAGCCTCTGAGCTCCTAGAGAACAGGGTCAGGGCCTCCTCTGCCCCCCACATGGCCCTCTCCCACACCTAGCACAGCGCCTGCCCTGACACCTCTCTCTAGAGTCTATCTGGCCTGCCCCCTCTGCCCATCCCGGACACCCTCTAGAGGTCTGGGCACACACAGCTGCAGACACTGATTACCAGGTGACAGCATCTCTCTGCAGAGTCCACATGTGCGTGTGTGTGCATGCGCGTGTGGGTGCAGGGTGGGTGGGGGCTTGGCCGGGCCAGGACCTGCTCCCCTTGACCTGTGGCCAGGCAAAGGCCCTGTTTCTCCATCCCTGCTCTTTCCAGGCCCTTGGAAGCTCCCTGGGAAGTGGTAAAGATCGAGGCTGTGCAAACTGACCCCCAGTCCTCTGGGAAGGGAAGATCTTTTCCAAATGCAAGTTTGATCTTGCCTAGCCCCTGCTAAGGCCTTCATGGTATCCCATGTCCTGCTGGGCAGAAGCAAACTCTAACATGGCCCAGTGGGCCAGGATAGTTTGGTTCCATTACCTCCTGGGCCACCTTGAACTCTGTTCTGGCCCACCTTCTGGCCCTCTTACCGCACCCAGTTACCTGCCACCTGACTTCAGATCTCAGCTGAAGAGACACTTGCTTATGGGAAGCCTTTCCTGGTTCCTGCCTAGGCCACATCCCAAAGCGCAGGCATGTTGGATGGACCAGCACACTTTTCCTTAATGATGCTTGGCTCAGCTGCTCATTTATCTAGTTAGATTATATGAGTCGAGTTCTCTCTTCCCCAAACATGGCAGCTCCATGAGGATAGGAGCTATGGCTGTTCTGCCCTCACCGCGCTCCCGTCTGCCAGGAAGTGATGGTCAGTCTTGATATTTACTGAACAAATGAATGAGATGCCTGCTGCTTACCTCACACGATTCTCCCTAACCCCCTTCTCAAAGAAATAATCACCCCAGCCAGGTAAAAACATAGCACAAAGCAACACAAAAACCTTGGCCCGAGACATAAGAGGCAGCAGCCACCAGGAGTACAATGAGACCATTTATCCTGTGTCTACGCGCTGAGGGAACGAGTATCCCCTTAACAGGGGGGTTCACTGTTCCACCTTCACGTGGCTGGCTTTCAAAAACTCAAGTGGGGGGGTGGGCCTGGATGGCTCAGTCGGTTAAAGCTTCTGCCTTCAGCTCAGGTCATGATCCCAGGGTCCTGGGATCGAGCCCCGCATCGGGCTCTCTGCTCAGCGGGGAGCCTGCTTCCTCCTTTCTCTCTCTCTGCCTGCCTCTCTGCCTACTTGTGATCTCTGTCAAATAAATAAATAAAATCTTTAAAAAAAAAAAACTTAAGTGGGCTTTATTACAAAAGGAAGAGGGCTGCCCGTGATGAATTTGCAAAGGTCAGCCCGGCGGGAATGACAGGGCTGGCCCGCCTCCTCAGTTTGGGGAAGGTCTCCAGGCTCCAGTGTCCCTCTCACATGGCTGCTGCTCACAATGCCAGGCCCCTTCCTGGCCTGAGCTCCGCAGTCAGACCATGGCCCGGGCTCCTTCCCAGTCAGGCAGCTCTGCATCTAAAACCTCAAGCAAAACCACTGGTGATGTGTCAAATGTGTCTCTAGATGGGAAGCTGCTTTGACACAGCCAAGATCAAGGACCACAGTCCCAAGTGGGTATTACGTAAGTGTTCCGATCCAGGACACTGAGAGGGAAATGGGAGACCAAGGACAGCAGAGTGGGGAACAGCAATAGGTTTTGCTGATAAGGCTGACCCCTTTATTCTTTAATTAAAGTACCAGAAAATCTTTAAAATAAAAAGAGTCTAAATTTGGGAGTCAGACGGGAGATTAAATCTCTCGCTTTACTAGCTTTGCGCCTTGACAATGAGTTCACCTCTCTTGAGCCTCAGTTATTCTAACTATAAAATGGGATAATACCACTAATGTCAGGGGGAGGGTGGAGAGGACATAGAGAACATAGCTCAGGCAATGAAAACAGTGCCTCGCAGGTAACCATGGAGGCTGTGACACGATCGCGCGGGTTGTTATTACGGTAGAAGGACTTTTCCATCAAATATGCACTTTAAACATGGAGACGGGTTCAGTGAGGTGGGCCAAGAGGAGAAACTGTGGAAAAGCCCAGAGATTTACTAGTTCTTATCTTCACAAACAATTTTAAATCTCTTCTGAAGTAGAAGGGAATGAAATGTGGCAATAAACCTGAGATTCTTATTAGAGAAAATTCCTGCTGGGTATCACCGTGGCCTGTAAGACTCCACGTTGAGGGGAAGGAAAGGAGGGAAGGGGTTAAGGGCTACACTGCTGGGGTTGGCCTCCAGCTGACATTAAGGAACTTAATACACACTTGCTTTGTTTTCTGCTCATCCATTAAGCTTCTGACTCAAATTTATTGATTTTTTTTTAAGTACATAAGATTTCAAAGCATGACAATTTTTAAATCTTTATAATCTTTAGGTCCCTCGCCTTTCCCACTTTCCAACTTTTAATAATTATCTGCCAGACCTTTGGTCGGCTTCCTTTTTTCCCTGAGAATATCCCACCTAATCTGATTCCTTCATAATTAATTCCTCTTTATGCCAAATCTTTGAGCTAGAATCTTCAAAACCTTTCATGAGCCCTGTCACAAACCCTTCTGGAAAACTATGTGGTAAGAGAGCCATTAATAAACTCTCCTTCACAACATTTAAATTCACTTTATTTGCTAACTTTATTAACACATTTGTTCTACCGAATTACCACCTCCTAACACATCTCAACGCAGATTAAAATTCCAACCAGCCCTATCTCACAGTTATCATGTATCACTTGTTAAAAGTTATAATGATCCTCCTTTGGGGCGTTCATCGGGAAACAAAGTCTTAACTGTGTTCTCACAAACATTTTTAATTTGCGCCTCACAGCAGAGCAGTTCAGGAGTGTGGCCTCTGACAGCCTCCGACCCCAGGCTGAATTTAGCACCTGTGTGTCTTTGAGCAAATTACCCAAAGTCTCTGGGCTCATCCAGTTTTCTCATCCATAGACTGGGGCAATGTCAGCACTCATCCTCAGGGGCAGTTATGAATGACAGAGAGACTGAATGCCTGGGAAGGGCTTTAGGCTCTACCAGTGGCTCCGTCAATGTCGGCGGCCCACTACCCCTGTCCCTAGCCTCCCACCCATTTCCAAGGTTGTGGGCCCACAAACATGACAGCTGAGATGCCCTGTGGCAGGGGCTCCCCAACACCACTGGGCTCCCAGCGTGAGCCAGTGAGAGGAGATGGGTGCCAGCTTTCCACCATCCAGCATCATGATGGGAGCTGACAACAAGCAGACCAGAAGGCCAAAGCCATTTTCGCTCTCCATATAGCACGGTCTTTTGGAGAAAAGGGCTTCCTCATACATAGTTATGTGCAAAGTTCTCTGAATTAAAATATTTTCAAGGTATATGAACAGAGCAGGATTTCAGGTGCAGGAAAAAAAAAGCAGCTAGATTCTCATGACAATTCCTCTCTTTTTGCTATAAAAACAGATTGCTGCTTGAGCTATAATAAACTCATCTTCTACCTTAAGCATTAAGTAAAAAACAAAGAGTCGTCCCCACCCCCACCCTGAACCAAAACACTGGACTCAAATGAACAGGCCAGTCAGCTACATTAGAAAGCACAGTGTTAATGAAAAAACAAAACCAGATGAAATTCTAGTCTCATTTATCAAGATCAGATGTCAAGCCACTTCACCATAATTACCTGCTTAAAAATTTAATGATGCTTCTGCATGAATTTCAGAACTAAAGATACTTGTATCAGCCATTGAGAATTTTTTTTTAATGAAAGAATGCTTTATGCCCTGCTCCTATTTCAACAAAACAGCTAAGTGCGAGAGCCCTGCATGGGATTAAACTATCCAAATCCTCTAATCAACGACATTATTAGAGACAACAAAAGGGCTAAGAGGATCCTTATGTAATTCAGCTGTAAACTGGAACCGCTTCAGTTACATTGTATCGGAGTCTGAGCCCAGTGATACGCAGCCAAGAGAAAAAAGGATGGAAACAAAAATTTATTTTTTTTGGCAGATCGGACATAACCCTAAAGGATATTTACCATAATTGCTCAAATGGTATTATTCTCAAGATCAAGGAATTGCTGATTGAGGAATAAAAACCCGAAAGTGAGCAGGTCTACCTAGAGTACCTAGTTACCAGTTAGATCAAGTTGACACCAAAATATGGGAAGTGTCTAACTAATGTTTAACTAATACATACGGTAACAATAATCACTGGCAACATGGGAAAAAAATGCTTGTTGCTGAAAAACTGGAGGAAAAAATGTTACATGATAAAAGCGAACACTTTTTTCTACTTTTCTTTTCAAGTAGACATTGCATCCTTCACAAATAAACACTACTTAGGTTCTCCTGGAAATACATATATACCAGCTAGGTTGAAAAAAAAGTAAACATTTTTTAATGAAAATAACCCACGATATAAAAATAATTATGAACTCACTCACTCAGTCTGGGTGTCTTACAATGAAAGAGACGTCAGAACAGGGAAAAACGCAATTGTAAAACTGCTCTGCCCTCACGGGGGATACAGTCGAGTGTAAGACACTCAATCGTTGGTTCGAGCCATTTTAATTATTTTTATTTAACGACACGAAGAAGAAAACTTTCCACTAAAGCCTCTGAGTAGAAGAGCTATACTGGTGTTGGTGGAGGGGGGGGGGCACTGTATTTCAAAGTAAAAAAATAAAAATTAAAAAAAAGTGTACCACACCCACACATACATATGAAGGAAGTAACAGCTCAGCAAAACTATGTTCATTAACTGTCTACATTAAAATTCCCTTAGCACACTCTTGTTAACCTAATGGATCTCAAGAAAATCCCCCCCCCCGAATTAATTTCTAAAGGAATCATAAAAGGAAGTCCCACAAGAGAGCTGTGATGCCTTTAAAATCAACAAAAGGGTAGGGAAGAGTAAATTTTTAATTCTTAAACAAAAACACAGTTAAGAAAACCTCCCTCACGAGAGACGAAAAGCCCATGTTCACACAGTATTTTGTGTGTCACAACCATCCCCCGTGCTGCTAGTGTCGCAAACAGCCTTGGCGCTGTCCCCACCACGTGTGAGGCCTGGTGGGCCTAATGACATCACTTCCACAGAAGCTGGTGGAAATGTTAAAGCACCAGGGACCGGGGCTGTGTTTACTAACACCGAGATGTGGTTTAGATGAAGAAAACCCCAAATTCAAACAGTTACTAAGCATTTGTTTTTGAAATGCTCTACCGTGTGACAGAATGTCATCGCTCAGCGTCACCCTCCCTCTGGTTGCTGTGAGCAGTCTGTGTGAGCCGGCTGTGACCACACAGGCTCCCCGCCGACCAAGATGGTGGCAACCCAAGGGTGGGGACGCCCCGCAGATGACTTCCTGGGTCCATCATCTAGAGGAAGCAGCTGCTGAAGCAGGGCACTCTTTCCTAAAGCAGATCACACAGGAGAGGCACCTGTTTGGATGGGATCTTCACAATGAACAATACGAATTTTGGCCTCGCCTGCAGATTTAAATGGACGGCTGAAGAAGCTTCTGAGACTCGAGAGTGGTGACATTTCTACAGCGGGGCTGTCCTTCACATCGATTTTCTCTTACCTCAACATCCTTTTTCAGTTTTTCCAGGAACACCTTTTTGTTGTTGTCATCGATATAAATCTTTTGGCCCTCATTAATGAAATCATTATCCTTTAAAGTCGGTAGTTCTTTGGCCTAAAACAAACGACAAAGGGAATGAACTAAGTTTGAATAAAAGCGAAGAAATACATGCCTTCCAACCCCAGAGGTGAAGTTTCTGTAAACTATTCACATAGTAAACTATTCACATAGTAAACTATTCACATCAGTCCGAATGCCCAGAAATGGAGTGTGCGCCTCCCTCCCGCAGGCTTCTCACCCGAGGCAACAAAATGTGAGGTGACGTGAATACCGCAAGGGGGCACCAGTGAGCTACGACCACTGGAAGCAGTCCCACCAGGAATGGAGGGTTGCACGTACTCCATATTAGGAAGTTTTGCAATAGGTCTCAGGGCATAAAAACCCGACGGCTTTCTTAGATCCACTCTCTTACAAGAAGTCTTCTAAGTATAGAATTTGTATTCTTGGAATTCTTTGTCAGGAACCTTCAATTTTCTTACTGGTACAACCCAACTCCACGCCCCTGACACTTTTTGGGTAGCCTTTGCTGGCTTCATGTTACAAATAACAGGTTATCTTGTCTCAGAAAAGCACCATCCATAATCATATCTAATTTCTCAGTCAGGGACAATATGCACCCAGAGGCTGGCCATCTGCCCCTTCTAACCTTCCTGGTCACCACCCCGCCAAGAAGAAAATTTGGACAATGCCAAAGGACAATGTCTTCTTCTAACACAAAACATATTAAGTAAGATGAGCAGTTCTATCCTTTACAAATAAACCAGAAGGGGCAAGTTGGCAACTACACTGTCCTTACAATGACCGTCACAACACAAAGTCATGGGTGACCATTGAAACATGGGTCACAAGCAGTAAAAACCTTTAGCTTATGCTCTAGGATAATATGGGCATATGATCTTAAAATAGTGTGGCTTATTCTATTTAATTTCGTGCAACCTGCATTCTGGGAGAGTTCAAGACCAATCAAAGCCCCTCCCCACTCCTGTCAGCTAATCATAGCTTATTTCTTCCAGCCGAAAGGAATCCAACAGAAGACACTTAGTAAACCAATGAATGTCTGAAGAGCTTTCTTGTAAGTGTGAGCTAAATGAAAGAAAAAAATAATCCAAGGAAACAACATACTCTCCTTCCTGCTCCCCACACGGCCCCCCTCGTTGTTCAGAACAGTAACAGAAAACCTATTGCATAGATCTACTGAACCATCTTTCAAATGCCTGAACGGCTCACTTTTTCTTCTCTGTAAACTATTCACATCAGTCCGTATGCACACATATATGCATATACATTACGCGATTCCAAATTTGTAGCTGCCACTCATTTTAACTTTGCAAAAATTTGAAGTCTTACAATTTTTTAAAAAAGATTTGAGTGAGAGAGAGTATACACGGATGGGTGGAGGGGCGGAAGGAGAGGGACAAGCAGCCTCCCCTCTGAGCAGACACTCGCCATGTGGGGCTCAATCCTAGGACCCTGGAATTGTGATCTTAGCTGAAGGCAGACACTTTTAAAAAAGTTACCCAGGCGCCTCAAAAGTTTTGCAATTTTTAATTTGATAAAACTACTGCCAAAATAACAATCTTTACAAAGCAGGTATATCAAGGATCAGAGATCCAAAGGTTTGGTTCAATTAGCAGTTACTGAATGACCATTATGTATAGGAATGCAAAAATGAGTAAGTCAACATTTTTTTTTTTTTTTTAAGATTTTACTTATTTATTTGACAGAGAGAAAAAAATCACCAAGTAGGCAGAGAGGGAGGCAGAGGGGGCAGGGGAAGTAGGCTCCCTGCTTAGCAGAGAGCCCGATTCGGGGCTCGATCCCAGGACCCTGAGATCATGACCTGAGCCGAAGGCAGAGGCTTAACCCACTGAGCCACCCAGGCGCCCCAGTAAGTCAACAATTCTAAAGGGGTCTGTGATCTAGTGTGAGAGAAAAACAGAACAAGTAGGTAAAAAAACAAAGAACAAGGCAGCACTAGTATGCAAAATGGACAGATAAATAGTAATCATCCTTGGAGGACACTGATCTACTCTCAAATACTTTCATGCTGAGTCAGAGTTTTGAGGAAATAAAAACACAATGACATTCTTCACAAAAACTATGGAGAGGCCTGCTAGACTGACTCCCTAAATCTGTCATTAATAATTTAAAAAGGTCATAAATGTGACATAAAAAACCCGACATGTGAAGACAGCAAATTAATGTGAAATGTCTGAGTCAACCGCACTCTACCCACAGGTCTGCTTCTAGCACAATTATAAACGCAACACAGTTTCATAGCAAATGAAATACAAGAATCTTAAGTTTCACAAATCCAGAGGGCCGTGAGAACCACCACCCAAAATACAAAACTGGAAGTGCCTTAGAAGAAAGGGTTGAAGCCAGATCCACACACATAAACACAGATGGAGGAGGGGATTCTCTAAGGGGACACCCTGGGTGTTGGCATCTAACTGTGTGTTGGGGGGATGACAGCAGCGTGTGTGGGTGGCGGTGATGGGGGGTGGCCGTGATAGGGATTAAGGTATCAGCCTCAACTCCACAGCTCACTTCGTATGTGTAAGAGAAGAAGGGCGGAGGGATTTGGGGTTCTGTGTGAGCAAGGGAAACCTGAAGCCGGGGAGGTCAGAACAGAGCCGAGGCAGTAAATGACACAGGGGATAGGTGTTTGTAATTCCAGGCACATTCATGGAGATGAATGCTACTTCGGGTTCACCCCAGCAGGATTACCTCATGTGACAGGGAAAACTTAATCCTAGCTCATAAAACTCGGGGCACCCTGCACTCTCACTAAGCTCACTTGTGAATTTCACAGGCACTAGGGACGTATTTAGATTGGATCAAGTTTTAGAAAGGGCAACCAGATTGGTTAAAAGACTAAAGGGCTTACCGAAAGGCTCAAGAGGCAAGGGCAGCTCCTTAGCAGGACAGCTGCTGGAGGAATCCAACACGGTCTACACATACCCACCCCCGAGGGGTCTGCGGTGGGCCAGAGCGCCTGGGAGGACCGCCAGTGCGTGGGAGACGTGAATCCCGCCGTTCCGGATCCTGGCTCCATGCCCACCTGCCGGGGACCGGGGCCAGGTTTCTGGAGCTTTCCAGACTGCGGTCTTACGCACGGAGTGGGGAAGGCACCACCCAGCACCAGCAGCTGTAGGTCCTGGTGCTAACAGGCATTTCACCTGCATCCATTTCAGTGCATCGGTTCGTTCATCCTCCACAACAACCTTAACTATTACCCTTAGGTTCGTACCGACACGAAACTGAGTTCAGAGAGATTATGCAAGTTACAAGGTCTGAACTAAGGTCTCACAGCCTGGCAAGGGCAACTAGGAAGCCAGTTCTCACGTGGAGAGGGGAACCCGGGCTTCCTCACGCTTCAGTCGGTGGGGGGTGCGGGGTAGGGGGTTGTTCTGAGAACTCCGCCCACACCTGTGTGACACACTTAACTAGCGAGGGCTGCTCGTCGTCCTCCTCACCATCGTCGACGTGAGCGTTCACCGGCTTGTACGGATTTAAAAACATAGGTTGAGAGACTGCATACAAAATCTTCTCTTAAAAAAAAAAAACAGCAAAACTTTGTTCTTTTCTACTGAGAACTAGGTGACAAAGATTAAAGTCACCTGACAGTGATTCATGCTCAAGAAAACCTTATTCTTAGCTTTTGGAAAATTTTGTAAAATTTTGATTTCCAGTGTAGTCCACAGAGTGTCACGTGAGTTTCAGGCGTACAACAGAGCGGTGCGACAGTTCTACACATCACTCAGTGCGTGTCACGGTACATGTACACTTTCTCCCCATCACCTGTTTCCCCCATCCCCGCCCGCCTCCCCTCTGCTAACCATCTGTTTGTTCTCTATCGTTGTCTTTCTTGGTTTGTCTTTTTTCTTTTTTATTGCTTAGCTTTGAGAACGATTTCAATATATCCCTCTGATAGTGAGATGTGTTTATATTTAAACACAATTTTTTTTTTTTAACTGCAGAGAACTTCTAGGCTGTGAGCGAATGAGCTTCCACACTCCCAGCTACACAGCCCACGAAGGTGAGGTCTGCAGAGCAGCCCGGGGGGGTAACTGTGGGGAGCAATGGAGTCTACCCTTCGCTTTGCAACACTCGATTCTTTGCACTTAGGAGAGCTTTGAAAGCCTCAAAGTCACTGGTCTGGTTCTTTAGTGGGTGTCTTTCATACCCTTTCTAGTTCAATGCAAAACCAGCCAGAGGGCGGAGGAAACCGCCAGAGCTAAAGACATCAGCTCAGAATCGCTTAACTGTGGACTCTCCGAGGCTGGCTCCCAGCCAGCGGTCAGCAACCTTTCTGAAGTGGTAGTAGGTTAAGTCTTTATTTATTCCCTCTGAATTAAGTTCTCCTGGCCAGTTTCGTGGAGACTGGGAGCCTCAGAGTGTGACAGGGGAATGGCGGTACCACA